CAAGAAACCCATTGGCGAGAATGTCAGAGACCAAATTATTATATAATATATTTATTTGTATTAATGGAAGAAACGCAGCTGCAATCTGAATAATGAGTTGAATCGGCGAAACGGAAGCTTATGCCAAAGAAAAATGCTTCACTCAGACGAGTTTAAAATCAATTTACTCCCGCGTTCCATCAATGAGTATGTTAAAGGTAAACAGTAAATGTGATAATAACATGAAGCAACAAAGTACAAGGTCTCTGAACTTATCGCCGTTAGCGTGGCCGAAAACGAACCTAAATCAGCAACTACAAACATTTTTTCAGAAGATTTAGTCAAATAATAATGTCTATAAATGCGTACAGAATCCTGTGGATAAGACATCGGTCAATAGAAAGCCAAAATAGCAGGCTAGTCTGAATAAGAATGCTGGACTAAAAGTAAAATAATCAGATTAAATGAAAAAAACGTTAGTACAGAGAATTGTAACTAAAGGCCAAACATATAATAATTACGATAAATACGAATATTTTAATATATATGCTAACAGAATTTTTAGTCGAAGGTATGAAGACAACGATGACGTGGCCTTTTGTGTGGTCGCAGTCTCTTTTCGTTGGATAGAAGTTGTTTGACCTTGTTTTCGCAACTTGGTCATATTGGTAGGAAGACTTAGAGGAACGCATCTAGTCCGTGAGTCCATTGTATGCATAATTATTTCCAGAGTCGGACCGTGGAAGCGGTACATTCCCAGACGTTTCGCCCAGTCCATTTTATGCATAATTATTTCCAAAGTCAGACCGTGGACGTGGTACATTCCCAAACGTTTCGCCGACATCGTAGTCGGCGGAATCCATTGTATGCATGATCATATCCAGAGTCGGATGGTGGACGTGGTACATTCCCAGACGTTTCGCCGGCGTCGTCAGTGAGTCTTGCCAGTCTTAGCACCACACTACAATTCGTCAGAGACAAGTGAAGCCGATCCTTTGACCAATTGTCTTGTCGTGGAATTCCTCCTTTCCTCTTGTCTATTAACCTATCCTACATTCTCGTATCACGTCTTCACTATCACAATTTATATTGCTAATTTAAATGTGGTAGGGTGTGCCCTTTTGAGCGGCTTTCATAAAAACTCTCCAAAATCCACACTGGCTGTCTCACCCCCCTTCATCCTTGCGCTGGAAATGTTGATCAGAATCTACTCTATTGTTACGCAGTTCTCCTTCCGTAGGTCTTATCAGAGGGAGACTCTGATCATTCTGATAGTGAAGGCTGGATATGAGGATATAGAATTGGTGATTAGCCCAGGGTGGATTGTTTAGCAGACAATTGGTCAAAGAATCGGCTCCACTTGTCTCTTTGACGAGTTGTAGTGTGGTGCTAAGAATGGCAAGGCTCACTGAGGATACCGAATACGATGCCGGCGAAGCGTCTGGATCGTACCACGTCTACGGTCCGACTCTGGAAATTATCATGCATACTATGGACTCCGGTAAGGTGCATTCCTCTAATTCCATTGCTTACTTCCATTTAGAGTCAAAGTCTTTGGTGAAGAGATTCCTCGAAACCCAACTTTTCTTTGCATTACTCTAAGTTTTCCTGCCAATATGACCAAGTTGTGAAAATAAGATCATACAACTTCTAACAGAATTTTTACTTTTTTCGGACCTAAGAGAACATCAGTAATATAACCCGTAATATTCAGAAAGCACAGTAAAAAGTACGCATAAAAGCGCATAAGACTAATTACGCAAGTAAAATGGAAGCAGATATGAGGATAAAACAAATTAGAATGCATCATAAATAGGCAAACTATACATCTAGATGTGACATTTTTTCACTGAATCGAACAATATCATTGCTTACCCAAAATTCAATTCCTGAATAGCAATGGTTGTTTAAAAG